CTATTCTTTCTTCATCGTTTTAGTTCATTATTGTTATGTGTTTCTTAATAGTTCAAAGTTTCTTGAATTAAAGTAGTATGATTTTTTTTTTTACAATTCTACAAAGAAGTCATGTCATGGGATTTAAGCCTTTTATTATTTTAGCAGAAAGCTATCATCAACATATAGCTGCTAATAGTTAAGCATCATAGAAATTATTGTTACTTATGTAATTCAAACAACTTTTAATGATTAAAAAAATTCAATGCTATTTAGTTGTATTTCCCTCCCCCCCGAATTTAATTGAGAAAATTTCATTTTATCTCATCAAATGATCTTGAAATTTGTAGTATTATAAAAATATATTTCATGAAATTCAGTGGTATAATCTTCTAATTATCTTTTTCAAGTTTACTCAATTGTGCAAAAACTGGATAAGATATGGGAAGAATGATAAGACTTAAAACAGCATACATACCAATAATGTTACTAAAAATATATTTATTTTCTCAGTACTTTTAATGATATCCTTTGGTATAGCTAAATAGTTTTGATGGAATATTCAATTTTTTTTTAAACTGAACTATAAAAAAGTATATAAACAATTTTGCTTAATGTATTTCCTTGTTGCTTAATTAATTATATTTGATCCTTATTCTATATTCATGTAAGTAAATGGAGGTATATTCACAGTTTGGTTATTCCGTAAGAAAAGTACATTAGTGTTATAAAAGAAATGTGTGAACACAAATTTTGGTTGACGATGGAACCCTAAATAGAAACTATTTCATGTCAAAGAAGACAAAACTCATCCCGAACACTGTAATTAATAAAGTTCTTAATTTTGATGTTTCTATTCAGCCAAATTTTAAAAGTCATTTATCAGATAAGTTTTGTTTTATTTAATATTTAAGTAAGTGGTAATACTGGAATGATGAAAAAATGGCAGAGGTTGCTTTAGTTTAGTTAATGGTTGGAGAAGATGGGTGGAGGTATAAGATAATGGGGTGCAGTAATTTTTTCTTGTCTTGGGTGCCAGAGTCCTGCTCTGGTAGTTTAATCATTAATGCAACATTAATCATGGTATTCACGATTTAAGTTAAAATATTAACTTATATTAAATAAGATTTAAACATTCATTTCATTTCATTGAATTTCTGTTTTTCATTTTTTTTTTATGGTTGAAATTGAAGATGATATACTCTCTTTTCATACATTGACCAATTAATTTATTAATTTTTTTTTTGTTGGATTCACAGAACTTGTTAGTCTTTTACTGCTTTAACCAGCCTTCTCCATCTCTGTCTATCTGGGGCCATTTCTTTCCAGTTATCCACTTTCAGTTTTACTGCATCTTTGTCGATTTCATCTATCCATTTGATTTTTGGCCTTCCACTTGGTCTCTTCCCTAATATTGAAGGATTTGTTGTTGTGTAAAGGCTTCCTGATGGATTGCTCTGAGCTAGATAACTCAACCATCTTAACCCCCTTACTGTCATATCATGAGATAATGATTGACTTGTCTGTCTCCTCCGTGTAGTAATACTCTAATCCCTGATCGCTCTGGTTATCTTACTCTCAAATCTTTCAATGCTTCTTTCTAGGGCGCTGAATAGTGTCCAGGTCTGGCAGCCATATTTCAGAACTGGCTCTATCATAGTATTGTACTCCCTTAATTTGTTATTATTGTAATGTTATAATTATAATATTATGAGTTATTGTAATTATGATATCATTTATTATTATAAAAAATATAAAAAAAATTGGGGGTTTCTCAATTGTTTTTAGTCCTCTTTAATTATCAGAGCTTTTCCAAATACTCATTTATTATGTGATGACCAAGATTATTTTTATAATTATCTAATATATGTATAATAATTGGTGTACAATTCGCTTTATAGATTTCATTGTATTGTTTACTTTATTTACAATATTATTAGGGTATTTAATACTTCAATTATTTTTTACGTTAGTAAGAATGTTGTTACTATTAATCATGCATTAAATATTTTTATTATCGGATTAAAGTTTAGAATTATTGTTATTTATCTGATTCTAAAGTATGTTTCTTCATTTTTCTATTAAGATTTATTTCTATCTATTTGTAATATTCCCTTATTTTAATGTTTAACTTATTTAAAATAATTAGTTATTTCTTTCAAATCTTGTTATCAATTATATTCAGCTGATATAAATAGTAAGTTACATTCTTCATCAGCATTTTAGAAATAATATTTATTATGACTAGTGATTAAAAAATGTTTTTTTCTTGTTTTGTGAATGTACAGTATGCACTTGCTACTTGAAGGATTTTCATTTCATCATTATTACCTTAGATATCTATCTATCTTCTATTTTTCTTAATAAAATTGAGTTTATTAGTAATTCATGAGTTTGAAAGAGATGGTGCATAAATGTGTTAATATTATTTGCTAAATATTTATTACTTTTTATATAGATATTATTACCTAATGGATTTTGTTTAGTGTACGAAATCAATTATTATTCATTATTAAAAAGTATTCACACAAAAACATTTCCATAAATAAATTGTAATATGATACTGATAAATATGCAAGAATTCTTTTTTGTTTATTGTGGATTATTTTGTTAGTATATTCACTTATTAAAATGTATTTTTAAATTCTAACTTATGAACTTTTATGTAGCTCAATTAAAGAGTTAGTTATTTCGATTCAAACTATCTCTTTAGCAGAAGTTTTAACTTTCAATGTTTCATTGAATTAAATATTTCTTCTAATATAAATTAAATTAACTTGTATTCATTTTATGTTCATTTGATGACTGAAAAGCATTTGCATCTGTGATATTTAATCTCATTTCACTTGGTATTATTAGCTTTAAATTAAATATTGGTATCTAATATGCAATAATGTTATTTTAATATTTGCATCAGTTAAAATTTCTTCTAAATAATGTGAGAGTTCATAAAATTTAGAAAATTAATGATGATTTACAGTCATATATGTTCCTTTATCTTAGCTATAGTTTATTTTATTGGTAAGAAAAACATTGGGCCTTAACAGGTTGGTCTAGCAGGGTTACATGATGAGGCAATCCCCATCTCTCACTAGCATTCACTGACTGAACAGCCAAAATCTGTTATGTATGTGATTTATCTTTGTGCTTTATTTTATTTTTATTAATTAATTAATCCTATTTTCTACTCAAATTCCTATTTGTACTAAGATTTCTAATATTTTTTGTTTTAAGTATTAAATTATTTAAATGATAGATTCCTGTTATTAGACAAATAATTTACTAGGCAACATTAATTTACTCTTATTAATATTTTAAGTTATTGATTATGTTATAGGCAATATCTATAATATAATCAGATGGATATTTGAATGTGGATACTTTAAGGTATTTGTGGCAATACTAAATTAATTGTTCTGAATTTAATAAATGTATTAATTAATAAAAATTTTTAAATATCTTTTCCATTAGTGGCCAATCGATAAAAACCATTGTAACAACATCTGTATTTTTATAATGACAATAAAGTATTTTTTTTTCCAATAGTAATTGTAAACATAATTTATTTTTTATCCATGATTTTTTTTCCTATTTTCTACTAAAGTGGTAATAGCTTTAATTTGATTTTTTAGATTTATATTATATTATTTTAAGCAGCACACAACTTAAAATACATTTCATTGATTAGAATTATATTTTTAATAAAGTTTGATATAGATGAATGGAAGTATGGGTATTTTTGTGTACATTAGTATTTTTTTTTAATCATTTAATTTAGTAACAGTTAAAATATTTGTTTTATATGGGATTGGAATTGAATCATTTGAAAAAAATAATGAATTCTCATTTAAAAAATTTGTTTATTCTCTCTCATTAGAAAATATCAAATTTTGTAATGGTTTATCAGAAATAAAATACACTTATTTGTAAAAAATGTATATTATAAAAAAAGAAACAAGTACTTTGTAATTACAGTAATACTGTGTGTTAATTTACACAATTATATTCTACATACAACTACCTGAAACAATGCCACTTGACTAAATTAAACTCATAATAAAATAAAATTATTATGTTTGTTTATTCTTCAGTTTTATTTTTGGTCTTATTTCCAAAAGTATACACCACTTTTCCTATTTGTGCTATTTTATTTCAATAAGTGCTTTAAGCAATAGACATGTTGGTATTATTAACACAGTTATCTTTTAAAAAATCACAATTATTTTATACCTCGGCCATATATTAATAGAGGCTGTAAAGGTAACAAAATTATTTTATCTTAATTCCTTATCTTTAAAAATGGCAATGATACAATTTCCACTCTTTAAAGCATACTTAATAGACACCTTATCACAACTTTTTCCATTTAATTAATTGCTTAGTTGTAAATGGTCTTAGATACGCCTAAAGTTATCACAGTCTAATTGGTTATTAAAGAAAATATCAATGAGGAACAATCAAATAATATCAACACTAATACTTAAATACAAGTAAGGAATGTCCCTCATTACTTTCCCTTTAAAATACAGTACATTCACACATGCATGCATATATATATATATATATATATATATATATATATTATATATATATATATATATATATATATATATATATATATATATATATATATATATATATATATATATATATATATATATATATATATATACACACACACATTAATATTGATAGATAGATAGATAAATATAAATAAAATTTAATTATCTAGTGAGGTTAAATTGCTCATTTGTCCAATCTGAATTATATTTGTCTAATCAATTATAAATTTTCAGTATATACATTCTAATAACTTCTCCCACAACTTTTAACGCTTATCATACAATTCATTCTGGAACAAATGTTCAAACCTCATAGTTAAATTAATCAATAAATTAAGTATTGAGATTTGCCAGCCATTAGAAAATAATGACTTACTCTTCAATCATTTAAGTAATAAAACATACTATTTTATAGTATGCATTATGCTTAATTTGACTGACTTTTGTACATATGAAATTTTATAAATAGTGGCTAGCAGTGACTTTGTTAATTTCAGATTGACTTCCTATTTGCTCAGTGATTGAAAATCCACCATTTTCAACACCTGCCATATTTTGTGCTGGATTTGATTTTGCTTGTTTTCCCTTACCCATCATTAAAGCTGTGATACCAAACAGTATTGAACCTGTAAAAAAACAAAACAAATATTATATAATATATAATCTTCAGGTTCAATCTCAATAACTATTTAACCATATTTTGTTGATTTTCTGAGATTATTGTTCTCATATTCATGCCCTACAATAAAAGAAGCAAAAAAATCATTTGTAGACAATTTTTTCTAAGATAATGTTTAAACACGATGTGAAAATGACCAATGATTAGAAAGTCTAAATATTATAGCTAAATGAAGTATAAGGAAACTAGAGACTTGCAATTTTTGAAAATTATTGAACACTATATAAATGGTGAATTAAAACTAATACGTAATTACAACTTTCCAGCTTTACTAATATACCAATGGAGTATGGGGAAAATGAAGAGTGGTTACACTGGGTAACAGTGTAAAATACTCCATCAGTATATTAGTAAAACTAGAAAGTTATACAATAGTAGTGCATAAGTTTTACCATGTATTTAGTGTTCAATGGAGTGATTCATAATTTTTAACTATTTAAGTACAATTTAGTATCTCGTTTACTTATACTTTATTCAGTTATAGTATTTCAATAGTTGTGCAATATAAAATGTTAGTGTTTAAACATTTTCTTTAAAAAAATGTCTATGAATTGGTTTTCTTTTTTACTTTTTAATTAAACTTAATTTTAATTTAACTTTTAAGTTATACTTTTCTTTTTTTACATAATAATAATTTGAGGCTAAAAAGGTAATATCAAATTTTCAATAATTTTTTTTGTGAATTGATTGTTTTATTCACAAAATAATTAACCTTAGATAAAGAATTTAATGGAATTCATAGTTCCTGAAAGATATTGATAAGGATTTATTTACATTCATAAATTAAATAATAAAATATTAATTTAGTTTTCTGGTACTGTTCTAAGAATTGTAATAAAAACTGTTATTCTTACTTATGAGAAGTGGCTGATTGTATTATTATTCAATAAATAGAATAACAAAAAAAAATCTTACTTATTAAGTATGCTCCTGCATAAAAAATTGCTAATGAGTCCCTGAAGGACGTTGCTTTTCTTACTGGTTCCATCAATATTGGTAGGTTTCCTCCAATATTGTTCATTACAAAAAGAAAAACGCCTACTGTTGTTGATCTTACTGCAAGTGGCACTATCTCAACTAGTACAGCAAATAAAATACCAAACCACATCTCAGCTGAAAGATATTAGAGAAAAATGTCATTAAATGTTAAACTGGTAATAAAAGTGATGGTATAAGTAGAAAGTTTTACTTAAATAATTTTTTTATATTTAGCAGGAAAAAATTTTTGGGTGAAGTTGTGTAAAAGATGTACTGTGAAATGGGGTGACAATGTTACATTTAGTGTTACTTTGGTACCATGTCAATTTTTAAATTAAAATGTTTCTGACAGTCTTGCCTAGCCAGAATAGCCTAGTTCTCTATACTTTTAAGACTGCTAGAAACATTTTAATTTAAAAATCAACATTGCACCAAAGTCATCCAAGATGTAATATTGTTACTCTATTTTATAGAAAGAGAAAGTGGGATTTTTTTTTCATACTTATTTGAATTGTAAATTCAAACATCATTCCTCTGTTTGTTTTCATAATAATGATTATCTGCATTAGTGTTGATAGGTAATTATAAATTATAATTATAATTTATTTCAACATATTGCCTTCTGGAAGTAATAATAGGGCAATTCAAAAATGGTAGTTTTGCAAGTGGTTCAAGCAATTTGCAGTCCAAAAAAACTTTAAACATAAACATTACCAATAATTTAAATTTATAATCATTCCAGTTAAGGTGGTATCAAAACTATGATTTTTTATTTATCCCATCATTCATACCAAAGGTAAGGCAACATGTTACAAATAATAAAAACAGCTTTTTAAAGCAGCAGATGGCATTAAAAGATAGTTTTAGAATGTCACATTTACAAATATTGCTTTACTACATTGAATTTCAAGAAATTTTGCTAATATAATTTTAATTTGACAATAAAATAGAAATTATTACCGAAGAGATATGAGATGGCAAGTGTTATCATAGCTCCTACTGGTCCCATATATATGCTTCCAAATGCGAAAGGTGTAGATATAAGCTAAAACAAAGAATTCTTCTTAGAAATTAAATTTCATTAAATACTTGATTTATAACTTGTAGCATTTGTTTAAAACTTTCTGTACTAAAATGTTATGTAATTTAATTAATACAATATGTATAGTTGTTTCAGGTTAAAAATCATTTTAAAAATTTTAAAGTTATTTTATTTTTTATAAAATATACCTGACTGATAGCAAGTACAGCAACTCGTGATTTTATGCCCATGTTTGCAACAATTTTGTCTGATGCATATCCTCCAGCCAATACACCTACTCCACCAATTACAAATGTTACAAAAAACAACCAGGCTCCTAGGTCAACATGAGGGAAAGTATCTCTGTAGAACTGATCACAGTTGTAAGCAAAACAAAGACCGCCTGAAAGAGAAAATTCCAATAAAAGTTAGTATATATATGGGAATGGAAATGCGCACTTTTCTATTATCTATAATATTTGTTGCAGTTATACAGAAGGTATACTATAATGGATGTTAGACACTTATATTTCTTACGTTAATAGACACTTATATAAGTTTTATTTAATTAAAATTTTACCTGTATGTCTAATTGATGCAGCAATGCATAACATTATAAATCTTGGTTGGAGCATAACCTTCCATGGCGTCTCCTTTTGTTTTTTTTCATCTGCTGTTTGATTTTCTTCTTGCTCTTCTCCAATTGTTGTACGAGATGGTTCTTTTAGTGTTGTTGCACTTAGCAAACCAATTATGAGAGCAAATACTCCACTTCCATAGTATGCCAAACGCCAGCCCTGAAGATATAAAATTTATTAATGAAGTAAATAAATTTGTACTAGTTTATTTATGCGATTTTTTTTTGTACATCAATTAATAGTAAAATAAATGTTTGAAAAAGTATTACTTACCAGATCCCAAGCATTTAATTCTGTAATGTATCTGCCAACAGGGAAAGATAGCCCAATACCACCATATATACCCCAATTAAAGATTGACATAACTAATCCTCTTAGGTCCTGAAATTTCCAAGATAATTTCTTATTTAAGTTTTTATATTTTATTATTAATATTTCTGTAATGTATATTGTATTCAATTTTCTTATGTATTTTATAGAATTAGATCAAATGCCTAAAATAAGTTTAAACTATTATAATTAATTCTTGGTTGCTTACCTCTGGAAACATGTCTGATAATATACCTGTAGACATTGGATTAAGTGCAGCTTCCCTAAAATATTATTTTTGTTAGCCTCTTAATTTTTTTATGGATACTTAAATTAAACATTTTGGATAGAACTTAGATTATTTAATAATTTTGCTGTTTAAATTAGTCACAAGCTATAACATCATTTATATTTTTCATAACAAATTTTGTATAGAGTTGGCAAGTATTTATAAATAGTGTGGTATTTCATACTAAATAAGTTTAAAGATGATTATTTACTCTAAAAAAATTATTGTTACCTTTCATAACACTATTATTTATCAAGTTTATATTATAATAATATAGTTTATATATTATTTATCATATTTATAAGGACTGGGATAATGCATACTAAATTATTAAAGGAGGATTATTTACTTCATAAAATAATTAATTTTCATGTTTCATAGTTGTAAAAATATCATTTTACTGATAATGGATCCTTTGTTGGTCAAATAAATGATCAAATTAAAATTAAAAAACATTTTTTTTAATGAATTTATTGAACGATTTTGTTAAAATGTTAAATGTAACATTTTTAAATCCATCAACCTATGTAACTACTGAATTCTTAATAACCTAAGGATGAATGATTAAGTTTAATACTCTGGGATTTAATTATATTGGAGCTTAAATTAGATACATGATTTATTATTTTAATTTTAAAACCTTATTAATGATTTGTTCAAGACATAATAAATTAAAAAGAAGTAATGAAACTAAATAAATGTATTCTAACTGGTTCACTATTAACTGATTGTTTATTTGTTATCATTATATAAACATGGATTGGTTATTATAACCATTCTACTGACAATATCGAATTTATGTTTGATATAACTTTTTTTTTACCCCATTTAAGGTAATGTTCTGTGAGTTAGTCATTTATTGAAAATTATTTCTACCAAAACTGCAGTATTAAATGAAAGTTGTGTGATGCACAAACCGCACAAAATTTTTGAACTTTGTTAACATTAATTAGGTACTAATCAATAACTTATTGTCATTTACCCTGCAGCAAATATCATCCTTAGTAAGATTAGTTGCCAATATTGCTGTGTAGCTCCAATAAGAGTAACCGAGGCTCCACATATAAATACACATACTGCTAGCATTGGAACTCTACAATAAAATTAATATAACATATTAAAAGAGATAATATTTCTTTATTTTACTCTATAATATTTTTATTTTAAAAACTTGCTTAATTTATTTATGTAACAAATTAAATATATTAAAAATTAAATAAATAATAATAAGGTGCACTTTTACTTTACCTTTTATATTTATCTGCTGCAATACCAAGAAATACACCTGCCACTGTATATACAGCAATAAAGCTTGGTCCTGCTAATACTTGATATTCAATTCCGAGACCATTTCTATTCCATTCACAATACCTTTCACCATCTTCTAGTGTTAGTTCAACACATCTATAAATTCATATTGTTAAATTTCATTAATGAATCATTTTATGTACCAAAAAAACTACAATGATATCGAGGATAACTCGGCTGTTAATAATGTTATAATGATTTTATCAATGAATATAATTATCGCACATAAATGTTGTTGACTAGTAATTGTTTAAATTTCATCTACTGAATGTTAAATATGATTTTTGTATCCAACTTACGCAGAATGATTTAAAGCATTGGAACAGGCTTCAGAAAGAGTCCAGTTAAAATGCGGTTCTGTTTTATTCAGTTGACATGCTATGTCTCCATAGGGCACATCTATTGCTGTAGCTTTGGAAGTTACACCAATCAAAAAATGTCCCAGCTCAGCAGTTAGATAACCCAATGTTAGAATCACTAACACATACCAGTTGTACAGCCCACTCAGTTTCTTAATAACTGGTATCATTTTTGAAGAACTGCTCCATAAAAAAAAAAAAGTTAAATTATAGTATTGTAAAAAGTAAATTTCAAATTTATAGTTTATAATTATACATAATACATATATTTTTATTAGTTGATGTTTCATGGTCGTATCCCTATTTTTAATACTTTCTAAATATCACTGCTAAATATTTCATTATTTTTATACTATCTTTTTTTTTAATGACAATTTCTAAAGAAAATAATAAAAATCACATTGAAGAGATTTGTCTTTAGCAGTGAGTTTTCAGCAAAGAGGAAAATAAATATGTATTATAAGTAGTACTTTTCCATTGTATATTTGTTCATTTATGACTGTATTATTCATTTATTTACTGTATTTGTTCAAACTGTATTATTAAAATTATGGTGAACGCAGAAATGAAAAACTATATTTATTGGACTTCTGAATAAGTCATATTTCATAGATATTTCAAATATATCTTTGAAATATGCTAGGTATTAACCAACATAAAATAATACATAAATTGTTCATTCAATTTTTTGAAATTCTCTATTTATTGAACAAGCGAAGCAGCGGTAGTTGTTCAATAAAATTAAAATTTTAAGTAAGTGTACTAAGTTTACTCTGAACAGAGTCAGTCACAAAATCACAGTAACATAAAAGAAATAATAACATCAGTACTATTAGTATAAGTGGTTAAATAATTCTAACTTTGAGGTCGATGGTTGTTTTCTAAGAAGGGCGACTGAATAATATTCAAACTCAGTTGGTTTGAAAAAGCTCCGCAAACCAAGAAATTCAAGGTTTGAAAGCGTATATGCAAATGATTAGCTTCTTTCAAGCGATTTCTGGTGTAGAAACCGAAGAGAAACCACAATTTTTTTAATTTGTTCCTCGAACAATCCTCCCCAGCATATTTTATCAATTAAAAAAAAAAATCATGTTTTACCTCCCACCGTCTCTACATGCGTCGTGGAACATATCAAAGGTATTTATTTTACAAAAAAAAAAATACACATTTCTTATGCCCACATGACAATATTTTATAATAAAAGAGGGGGGGGGCGGTTGATCTGCGCGCTACTTGTTACAAATTATTACTAATCCTTTAAAACATTGTAATTTTTGTCTATTTTTATCCTCCCAGAATGGAACAATTGCTCACTGGGCGGCGCCGATTGGAACGAAACTGATAAAAATAAAAATGATTTATAAAAGAAACTAAAGAAATAGAAAATAAAAAAAAAAATGTGTTTTCTCGGTATAAGTTCAATATTCAAGACGCACTCGTACAACACTCATATTATCAAGAATGATTCTTTGACTTTGTTGTTAAAAAATAATTACACAGAAATCTTAATGTTCCAAAAGGCTGATGATTGTTACAACAGATTAGTGATTTCATGACCATTCTTCGAAAAGTTTATTAAATAGTTTCCTAATTTAGTTTGTTTTTCGTGTGCTTAAGGAATTAACGCTGGTGAACATCCATCAAAACCAGATTGGGAATTCTTTCACTGTACATTGTATAATTGAATAAATATTTAGTGCTATATTTTGATTATTCTATTATGAGCTAATTTTTTTCATCCTTGAAAATATTTTTATTATAGTTATGGATTAAGATTTTTTTTAAACGTCCTATATACAGCGCAAATACATAGAGGTATGCAGCTAGAACTATTAAGAGGGTGGTGCCTGAACCTCAAGTGATATGCCACAATAGCGGCTTGGCGTGTTTCTTTCACAGATGTTTCCTTACAACTTTTCTTAAGAAGATTTTTGAAATTTTGATTCATTTATATATGATTTGCCATTTCTTATTTCAAAACTGTGTAGAATTTATTTTTGCGTTTTTTAATTATTTAAAAATACCGGTTGACCTAAAAAAGAAACAAAACTGGAGGGTTCAATTACTGATGCAATATACCCTGTAGGAATTTCCTAAATTTTTCATGAATATTTAACTAATTGACTGTAAATAAAAAAAAAATCGATAAAAGAATGAATTCGCCTACAATTAAACCCATTTGCAGAGATCCATCATTAGAATTAAAGCTGTGGTTCACAGTTATGTTGGAAGTTTCGCTTTAAGTGTCTATTGCCGAGGATTTTTCACCTGAACAACCAAAGGATTGGAATGCTTCTTTTTTTTTTTCTCTATATTTCTTTTTATGAATTTTTGTAATAGATCATACTCTTGTTTAAAACTATGTTAACGCTAAAGACAATTGGAATCTTCAGTTTCAGTTTGTAAAAGCTGGTAAAAACTTACTTGTACATATTTATTTATTATATCTACCGTTTAATTTATTTCTGTTTGTAAGTATTTGTTTTATTATCACCGTTTAATTTACTCAATATTTCTCTCTTCTACTTCGGTGCATAATATTTATTTTCCAAATTATTTATTTTAAGCCACTTTACACCAATTTTTAATTTGGTCAACTTAATGACTACAACATCTTATTACGACGTTTCGGCTCGTCGAGCCATTTTCAAGTTTTCAAGAAATTTCTCCTATTTACAATCATATTTAAAAATTTTACATATTTCAAAATCTAAAGATTTTTTATTCATAATTACCCATCCATTTCACTTCTGATGCGAATTACATGTGTTTACTCTTAATAAAATGTATCACTCTTGTATTGTCCACCTTTAACTAATTTATCACCGTTTAATTTATTTCAAGAGCGGAAATATTTTTTATAACTTTAAAAAAATAAAATAAAATAAGAGTCAGTTATTTTTTGAAAAGATGACATTCACGTCTCATTTTAAAATAATGTTATTGAGTATGATTTTTAAAATTAATAAAAAAAAAATCCCTTATGGTAGGGCTTCTCTATAGTAGTTTTTGAGGGGCCTAAAAACAAAATACCGATTTTATTTTTAAACCATAACGCTCTCGTCTAATTTAAAACTTTTATTTCTCAATTTTTAATAGCTGTAATATTAACACAGTTAAATTAAAAAACGCCAATACATTATGGTGTTCGTATATGTTCCCTAATTATCATAGTTGCATTGAAATGATAATTGTACAAGGATTAAAAAAATCAATATAAAATGGAAATTAATAAAACAAGGAAACTAGTTTATTTACTTTATGTATACACCGCATTTCTTATATTATTAAAAATAATGAACATTTCAAGGGAAATGTCCATTTAGGTGTGAAGGTGAACACGGATTTTTCCTTATGTTCTATATGTTAATAAGTGCAATTAAGAACATGTATAGATACTAGGATGAAACTAACGGTGATATAATTGTCAAAAGAATCAAATGAACATTAAGAGAAACTAGTTATATCAATTAATTTCATATAAAATCACTACTGAAAATGTTTAGGAGCGTTTAAAATGCATTTCATTCGTTGAATCTCTAATTCAGTTGCATTATTAGTAGAGAAAAATTAATTATTCTCATATATATATATATATATATATATATTTTTTTTTTTTTTTTTTGGGGGGGCTCATTACAAGCTGTCTAAGTTAAACTGGCACTAAATATAGTTTTACTTGAATTTATTCTATTATATTTACTAGTATTTCTTTATGATAGAAATAAGTAATAATGATATTATTAATGAATAATAATGATAAAAAATACGATTACAACTAGAGAACTTAAAGCTTCTAATGTATATTTAGTAAATAATTTAAGTTGAAAAATGAAAAATTCATAAACGAAAACTATAATGTATTCATTAACTTAATTAAAAAGTTAGGCTGATAAGGAGAGCAAGCCTCCAAAAAGTGGGTACCCTTAATTAAAATAATTAATTAAGGGGAAAACCTGGCGGGTGAACGTGATCCTGCACAGATCTCCTCCCTGCACAACCGTTGGGCCTTGGAACAGTGCTTTACTTAAATATTATTGAACCCAAGACCCTTCATGGGTTGTAGTGGGACAGGTTTTAAAAAAAAATAAATATAAGCAAATTTCTAAAAAAAAAAAACCGATTGACTGCTACAGGTCGATTGTTGATATTTCAACATTTTGGGACTAATTACCAAAAGAGGAATACCTATACTTGAAAGAAGTTTCCAAAATTTCCCTCATTCCTCTTGAGAGATTTGTTTTTGACCAGGCCCCTGTCACTTTTGTAATATTCACACAGAACTAGACAGAACCTTGGTATTTATAGACAATAATTTGTTTGTTGAAGCTGAACTGTTAGCAGTGAACGAGTGATTAATCAACAAATTAGTTCATCAATTAGTCTCAAACAGTCCAGCCTTGAGTAAACAGAAGTCAGATTCCGTTAAGGAATATATCGTTGGAAATATGTTCGGCACGGATGACGATATTTTTTTAGCAGCCATAACAAAAAAAATTTCCAAATTAAAAAAAAAAAATTATTGTTACGCCATGTTTATATATTTCGGTCATTAGTTGAATATTTAGCCAACTAGAGAGAGAGGATTACTTTATTTCCGTAAAAGTGTGCTGCCCAATTATATTGGATTGCTTCAAACACAGCATACTTATTAATCATTATAGACAATTTTTTAAAACTAATATACAAATATACAGTATTAACAATATATATGAGCATAGTATACAATATTTTTTTATACATACATATATATATATATATATATATATATGTATTATTTTTATATTTTATTTATTTTTTTCTTCTTTTTTGACAATTTCTTTCATTCATTCATTAGCTTCCGGATTATGAATCAGCAGGGCATTCCGAAAAAAAAATTAATGAATAAATATCAATCAAATTCAATCCGTGTATTGAAAACTATGTATTCTTAGGATCTTTGCGTTGTTTAGTGTAGTAGCGAATCCAGGATTTAATTTTTTTTGCGGGGAGGAGCTTCAGCTCATATATATATAAGCTCGAAAGCTTATATATATATATATATATATATATATATATATATATATATATATATATATATATATATATATATATATATATATATATATATATATATATATAAAACCATAATTACTTCGAAAGAAATTTTTTTTTTTCAATGAAGCAAGTC